AAAAAAAAAAAAAAAAAAAAAAAAAAAAAAAAAAAAAAAAAAGGCTTTATTGTAAGGAAACTTCTGGTGAAGTACTGTATGAGTGATATGGGCAGAGAATAGGAAAATAAGAGTGTGGAGTAAATGATGCTATTACTTGACTAGCCTTGAATGATATGAAATTTCCCCCAGGGCTTATTTTCTAAATTAGTTTTACTTATTTATTTATTTATAGATGGGGTCTTATTCTGTCACCCAGGCTGGAGTCCAGTGGCATGATTATAGCTCACTGCAGCCTCGAGCTTCTAGGCTCAAGCAGTACTCCTGCCTCAAGCTCCCCAGTAGCTGAGACTATAGGTTCAAGCCACCACCATGCCTAGCTCTAAATTAGTTTTAAATAATGATTTTCAATGGGGCATGGTGGCTTACACCTATAATCCCAGCACTTTGGGAGGCTGAAGCAGGAGGATTGCTCAAGACCAGGAGTTTGAGACCAACCTGGGCAACATAGCACAACCCCATCTCTACAAAGAAGAAAAAATTACCTGGGTGTGGTGGTTCAAGATACTGGATAAGAAAATGATTTTCCACCTTATTGTTAATTTCTCCTCTCCATGATATTGCTTATGGCATATATTGTTTGTCACTCATCGTAGATGTAAAAACTGAAGACAGTATATTCCCACTTTTCAGAGGGAGAGCTTAAAACTGAACTCCAGACCATTTAAATTCAATGTGTAGCTTTTAAAAAATCTTTTTGAGAGAATAATAATGATGATGATGATAGCTAGCATTTTCTGAATACTTACTGTGTGCTTTACTTATGTTTTGGAGTACTTAAACGGTTCCAAGTGCTTTACTTGGATTATCTTGTATCTTTTCATAATCTTGTGAGGTGAGTACTGTTAGAATCCTCAGTTCACAGATAAGGGAACAAAGAGAGATAATTTGCCCAATATGATATAACAAAGTCAAGATTTAATCCTCATTTGCTCAATTCCAGGGCCCACTTATCTCCTAGGCTGTACTACATCTGTGGAGAACATAGTATAGTTTGAAAACTACTTTTCTTTTATTTTATTTTATTTACTGAGACAGGGTCTGGCTCTGTCGCTCAGGCTGGAGTGCAGTGGAATGATCATGGATCACTGCAGCCTTGACCTCCCGGGCTCAAACAATCCTCCAACCTCAGCCTCCTGAGTAGCTGGGATTACAGGCACATGCCCTCATGCCCAGCTAATTTTTGTATTTTTGTGGAGACAGCGTTTGGGCATGTTGCCCGGGCTGGTGCAAAGTAGTTTTAAAAGAAGATTTTTTTAAAAAAAATTGTTTTTTAATTTTTTTTTTAAAAAAAAGATTTTTTTAAAAAAATAGAAAACAATTTAGTGATAATACAGCACTTCCTTTAAAAAGTATATACTCCCTTTTAAAATAACCCTGTTTATGGTTGTAGTCTTCAGATTTTGAGGGCATTTAAACTATTATATTTTTAGGAATCTGGGGTATTGGTGTTGCGACTCAGAAGGTTAACTTAAATCAGATTCCTCTCGGCCGAGATGTGCACAGTCTGGTGATGAGAAATGATGGAGCCCTGTACCACAACAACGAAGAGAAAAATAGGCTACCGGCAAACAGTCTTCCACAGGAGGGAGATGTGGTGGTAAGTTCCCTCGTGGAGTTGCTTTCCATTGTTAATGACTAAACTTGAACTGCTTTTAGTATCTACAGCTTTGCCTGGGAGTTTATGGTTTGAATTCCAAAGCAATGGGATCGGATCTAATGAGATAGTGCATTTTTCCGGAAAGGATTTGTGGATGCTGCTGCCCTACTCAACTGCTGTCTCCTTTTTAGAGCTGCCACTGGCCAGGAAAATCAGTGTGAACCCTTTTTCAACTCTGGAGAATTAATAACAGGCTGGCTGCTGACCATACATTCCTGTTTCTCTCACCTTAGAGAAACCTTGGCCCACAATTCTTAAAAGTTTGCTGACGCTCATATTAGAAAATGCAAGGTATATTTGAGGAGTTTGTTAGGGAAAATGTTCACCTTCCTTCCTTTTTCCTTCCCTTTCCTTCCCTTCCTTCCCTTCCTCCCTCCCTTCCTTCCTCTTTCTTTTTTCCTTTTCTGAGATAGAGTATCACTCTGTCACATAGGCTGTGGTGCAGTGGCATGACCTTGGCTCACTGCAACCTCCGCCTCCTGGGTTCAAGCTATTCTCCTGCCTCAGCCTCCCGAGTAGCTAGGATTACAGACACACACCACCACACTCAGCTGATTTTTTTGTACTTTTGGTAGACACAGGGTTTGGCCATGTTGGCCAGGCTGGTCTCGAACTCCTGACCTCAAGTGATCCACCTGCCTCGGCCTCCCAAAATGAGCCACTGCACGCAGCCACACATTTATTTCTTCATTTGTTATGAAATTCTGTTAGAGAATTACAGCATTTTATCGGAATTGTTCATCTTCATTAAACTTAACCTAATTAAACTCTTTAGAGAATAGAACTCAAAATCCTAAAGCTTGATAGTAGAAAAGTTTTTCTTAGACAGCAGAGGATAGTGAAAGTTACACGTTATTAAAACTTTTCTGTTTTTACTCCTAACTGGCTCTGTTTAACTCTTTACCAAAGCTAGCACTTTGAAAATGTAATCCAAAGATTTCTTTCTGTGTTTCCAGATACTTCCTCCCACACTCTATTATCCAAAACTCCTCCCTGTCTACTGAGGTCAGGCTATTACTGATTAACAACTGAGTCCTAGAGTCTCCTTGGGCCGAGGTGCCCTTGTACACCGAAACTTGGCTTCTCAATTCTGATATGAAGTTGAGAAGAATCCATGAATAATGAAATAAAGTTTCTAAAAAGATGATACAGACAAGAGAAATCCAAGTTAATTGATTTAGAAAAGGTACAGTATTTTAGAAAGAATGAAGAAAGGTGTGGAAATTGAGATTTTTGGTTATGACCTGATCTTTCTTCTCTTTTCTGCAATTTCAAAAATATGAACAACAGTAAGTTTTTAATTGTTGGAAGTTTTCTTTCCTGAATTGACTAAAGAAAAAACGAGGATGAAAGGTGTAAGCTATTAAAAAAATCTGCTTTTCCCCATTCTTTTTGAATAGTTGGTTCTGTATTTGTAGATCATTGCCAGATGCCCCATAATATGGAACATCCTTAATCAAATGGTGATTTCTTGAAAGAGAATCTTGAAGTCAAGTTGATGCTGTCAACCTGTTTATCTTAAAAGATGAAATTCAAATATGAGAAAGGGTAATCAGTAACAAATGTTTTTCTTTTTTGTTAAACTGAAACTTCTACCTGCCTTCCTATCTCATTTCATTTGTAGTGATGTCTAATAGCACAATATGACAGACTGAAGAATGCCACTTTTTCTGTCAGTGTTGTTAAGTAAGACTCTGAGTTTTCACGCTCATTCTCATAAAAGGAGAACTAAAACTACGCAGTGCCAGGAAAAGAAAAACATTACCCTGTCATTTTAACTTTATCTTCCTAGTTCAAGTACTGGAGAACAAATGTTGCCAAATTGTTAACAGTGGCATGGAATAAAGAAAATGGATTATAAGAAAGGAAAAACATTCTTATGTGTTTAGAATTTAAGTCATGTACCATTCTCTGAGGAGAAATCAAGAAACGTAAGCTCTTAACATCTAACCAAATGATTATATGATTATACTCATATGATAATCACCCAGTGCAGCACAGCCTGCTACAGAACTAGGAAGACATACATGAAACAGTTTATGCTGACTCTCTCCTTAGACATATAGTTCTGAAAAGTACAAATTTCATTCTAAAATGCATGAATATGTATCAGTTTAATTTTGGAGAAGTCTTATAAACATTCTATGTAATAATAACAATAATGAACACTTCTAAGCATTTATTATGGGCACAGTTCTAAGTATCTGGCAAGGATTAAATTGTTTAATGCTTACAATGGCCCTTTGAAATAGGTATTATTATTTTTATTGGTTTTTTTTTAAGATGTTGTTTCGCTCGTGTTGCCCAGGCTGGAGCACATTGGCGTAATCTTGGCTCACTGCAACCTCCACCTCCCGGGTTCAAGTGATTCTCCTGCCTCAGCCTCCCAAGTAGCTACGATTACAAGAACCCGCCATCACTCCTGGCTAATTTTTTTGTGTTTTTAGTAGTGACGGGGTATCACCATTTTCGCCAGGCTGGTCTGGAACTCTTGACCTCAGGTGATCCACCCACCTTGGCATCCCAAAGTGCTGAGATTACGACGTGAGCCACTGCGCCTGGCTGGTAGTAAGTAGTATTATCACCATTTTACAGACTAAGAGAAGTTAAGTAATTTCTTATGTGAGTTAATTACAAGACTATATAGCTCAGCTAGGCACTATGGCTTATACCTATAATCCTAGCACTTTGAGAGGCCAAGGCAGAAGGATCCCTTGAGCTTAGGGGTTTGAGACCAGCCTGGGAAACATAGTGAGACCCATCTCTATAAACAAACAAACAAATAAATAAAGTTTAAAAAGAAAATTAGTCGAGCACAGTGGCATGCTCCTATAGTCCCAGCTACTTGTAAGGCTGAGGTGGGAGAACCGCTTCAGCCCGGGAAATAAAGGCAGCAGTGAGCCATGATCCAGCCTGGGCCACAGAGCAAGACCTTGTCTCAAAAAAACAAAACAAAACAACAACAAAAAACAACCAAAAACCAAAACAAGATCATAGCTGAACCAGTCTCATTTCAAAATCTGTTCACTAATCTGCACACAATTATTAATAGACGTAGAACAGATAGGATATTTTGCTATTATTTTGACAGAGTCAAACCCAGTTTCTTCATCATAGGATAGATTGGGTTGGAAAAGACTTGAACTGGCTAGTCATGGTGGCACACACCTGTAATCCCAGCACTTTGGAAGGCTGAGGTGGGTAGATCACAGTGAGCCAAGATCTTGCCACTGCACTCCAGCCTGGGCAACAGAGTGAGATCTAGTCTCAAAAAAAAAAAAAAAAAGGAAAGAAAATACTTGAAATAAACTATGCTGGGGTGGGATTTCTCACATCCTTCCTCACCTCTTTGGTGCTGGGGTTTTGTTACTGCAGGCTTAAATTTAAAACTTGCTTAAGGCCAGGCACAGTGGCTCATGCCTGTAATCCCAGCACTTCGAGAGGCCAAGGTGGGCAGATTATTTGAGGTTAGGAGTTCAAGACCAGCCTGGCCAACATGGTGAAACCCCATGTCTACTGAAAATACAAAAATTAGCCGGGCATGGTGGTGGGCACCTGTAATCCAGCTACTTGGGAGGCTGAGGCATGCAGGAGAATCTCTTGAACCTGGGAGGTGGAGGTTGCAGTGAGCTCAGATGATGCCATTGCACTCCAGCCTGGTCGACAGAACAAGACTCTGTCAAGGAAGGAGAGAAGGAGGGAAGGACGGAAGGAGGGAAGGGGGAAAGGAGGGAAGGAAGGAAGGAGGGAGGGAGGGAAGGAAGGAAGGAAGGAAGGAAGGAAGGAAGGAAGGAAGGAAGGAAGGAAGGAAAAAACAGAAAACTTCCTTGTTTGCAATTGGCCACTGGGGGATGAAGGTGCCTGGATTACAACCCCAGATAAGTTTTTGTTTTTTTAAATGAAAACAGACTTTTTCATTAGAAAAGTGAATCCCAGCCATCAGCTAGCTTTGTTTTAGTTTGTCTAAAGACACAAACTAAAGTGAAACAAAGGCAATCTATGTACTATTTATCTTTCTCAATATTCCTTAATTATTAATAATTGTTTAAGCTAACCCTGGCTTTGCTAAGAACTGAGAATCTTTGATGGCCCTTACCACATTAGCTTCTCTGGGCCTTTGCTGTCTTGCCTGTAAAGAGAGAGAATTAAGACTAAGATGATCTATAAAATCTCTTTTACTTCTAAAAAGCTTTTAACTTGATAGACTTTATCCACAGTCAGAAATCCTGAAATCCTTGAAGTGGATTGCTTTTTGGTCTATGATGACTTCTCAATTGAAAGATCTCTGCTGTTTTTCAAGGAAAAGATCTCTTTTTGTTATCAGTTAGTAGCTATTATATAAAGTTTTAAAGAGAGAGGGTGATTAAGAGCAAGTGTTTAAAGAGAGGCATGGTGATTTAGAGAGAGGTATTGTGATTAAGAGCAAGTATTCTGAAACCGTACTGCATGGGTTTAAGTCACAGCTTTTCCACTTCCTAGCTGTGCAATCTTAGGTAAATTATTTAATCTTTCTGTGCTTTAGCTACCTCATCTGTAAAATGGAGATCATAATACTGTCTTGTTGTGAGGATTAAATGAGTAAATATGAACTGCCTAGAATAGTAGCACTATTGGTATGTAATATGGGCTATCTAAGTGTTTTTTAGCATTTTAACATTAATTATTAATATTACTAATTGTGATTTTTTTTACCATCAATAGTGTATAGAGTAATTTTATTACATTGTTTTTTAAATCACTTGAGTTTTTTTTTTCTATTTTTTAACTTGAAACTAATTACCAATTTTATTCCGTTGTAAACACCAGCTTTTCCTTAATAATATACCTGACTAATTTGAAACCAGGGTAAAGAGATGTAGAAATGTGTTCTTTCTTCCTAGAAATAAATTGTATAGAGACATTTCTTCATATTTTGAAGACAGTGACAGGTAGTAAGTCCTGACAGTGAAAAAAACCTCATTGTTTTTCCTTCTTAAGATCAAATTCTGCTGGGCATGGTGGCTCATGCCTGTAATCCCAGTGCTTTGGAGGTCTGAGGCAGGTGGATCACCTGAGGTCAGGAGTTCAAGACCAGCCTAACCAACATGGTGAACCCCATCTCTAAAAAAGATCAAATTCTTTAGAGAGAGAGCAGCATTTTCTCTAGGAGTGTAAAAGGTTTCTCTATTCATGGTATGTAGTTCTTATATTATCTTAGCATTCAAAATATAAAATCTAGATTATACAAATATAATTCTAGCATTTAAACTGTTTACTTTGTTTTATCGCTAATGTGGACTCTTGGGATGTTACGTGACGTTATTCCCCCTCATAATTACTACTAATTTTTTTTAGCTCAGTTCAAGTAGAATTCTACCAAATTGTCAACCCTTAATGAAAATTGTTGTCACCCTGTGCTTAGTTTTTTGTCTCCATACTTTCCAGTCAATGCTTTCTGACTGCTCAGCTTTTATGGAACATTTTTATTTTTTCCTTCCTAGGGTATTACATATGACCATGTGGAATTAAATGTATATTTGAATGGAAAAAACATGCATTGTCCAGCATCAGGTATACGAGGGACGGTGTATCCAGTTGTTTATGGTAAGCTAAAATATGTCTCATGTATTATTAGATATGTATTAACTTTTGTTTGGCATGTGTATCAGTCCATTCTCATGCTGCTGCCGTAAAGACATACCCAAGACTGGGTAATTTGTAAAGGAAAGAGGCTTAATTGACTCACAGTTCTGCAGAGCTGGGAAGGCCTCAGGAAACTTACAATCATGGTGGAAGGGGAAACAAAACACATCCTTCTTCACATAGCAAGAGGAAGGAGAAGATTGATCAAGGTGGGGGAAAGCCCCTTATAAAACCATCAGATCTTGTGAGAACTCACTCACGAGAACAGCATGAGTGTAACCACCCCTATGATTCAGTTATCTCCCACTGGGTCCCTCCACAACACGTCGGGATTGTGGGAATTGTAATTCAAAATGAGATTTGGGTGGGGACACAGCCAAACCATATCAGCATGTATGTTAATTTTATAACTCTCATCTAGGAATCTGGATACATTGTTAATGAGGACCTTTTTATATGGAATGTAATCAGTAGGATATTACAGTCCCACTTTGCAGGATTAAGAATAGTTTCTATTCCCCATGTATTAAAAAAAATTGCTAAATACAATGATTATACTTAAATATACAATAACCATACTCCCTTTTTCTTTTTCTTTCTTTCTTTTTTTTTTTTTTTGAGACAGAGTGCAATGGCGTGATCTCGGGCCATTGCAACCTCTGCCTCCCGGATTCAAGTGATTCTCATGCCTCAGCCTCCCGAGTAGCTGGGATTACAGGCATGTGCCACCACACCTGGCTATTTTTTTGTATTTTAAGTAGAGATGAGGTTTCTCCATATTGGTCAGACTGGTCTCAAACTCCTGACCTCAGGTGGTCCACCCAGTTCAGGCCCCCCAAAGTGCTGGGATTACAGGCGTGAGCCACCGCGCCTGGCTCCTTTTTCAACATGTAGTTTTATGTTTTAGAAAGTTTCAGAAAGCTTTACTGAATTTAGAAAACCTTTTCTGCAAGTTATTGGGAATGATTACATGACCAGGACACATAACTATAAATAATATTTTGGAATTAGGGATGGGAATTTTATGTAGATGGAGCATTAATAACCTTTACAAAATTCCCTAAATGTTAATGCTCTTCTGAGGGAAATAGTGACTTAGAATAGTTTCATGTTTTGCATTGGTAGTCGCATATGTATAAGTACTGTTATTTCTGTACATGTGTGTTCCGTCAAGACTTGGGCTACTTAAGAGATGACTCTATTACCACTTAATTACTTAAATCTTGGGGGTTGTTTTTGTTTTTTTGTGAAAGTCTTGCTCTGTCCCCCAGGCTGGAATGCAGTGGCCCAGTCACAGCTCACTGCAGCCTCAAACTCCTGGGTTCAAAGCAATCCTTCTACTTCAGCCACCCTGGTAGCTGGGACTACAAGTGTGCACCACTATTGGGAAAACAGGCATGAACCACTGCATGCGGCCTACCTTAATTTTTATTACTGAAAATTCTAAGGTTCTGGTACAGTGGCTTATGCTTGTAGACCCAGTACTTTGGAAGGCTGAGGTGGGTAGATCACAAGGTCAGGAGTTTGACACCAGCCTGGCCAGTAGGGTGAAACCTGTCTCTACTAAAAATACAAAAATTAGCCAGGCATGGTGGTGTGCTCCTGTAATCCCAGCTACTTGGGAGGCTGAGGCAGGAGAATCACTTGAACCTGGGT